TGCCAGATTTCAGGTATGCTTAAAAATGGTACTTTGGCAGCGTTTTATAAAGTGTTTTGTTAGGACGTAAGCATTCCAGAAGACTCCCCAGCTCTAAATTAGTGGTACCGTGAAAAATCACATCAGCATCAACAAGATAGCTGAAGAAATGAATTGGGATCGCGGTAGTGGTATGCAATTGAATATAATTGTGTGACATAAGCAGACCCAGGAAGTAAGATACAGAGAGATGTCACAGGTGCCGTGTTCAGCGTCCTACAAGGGACAGAAAGAACTACCCGTTGACTTCTCAGCTCTTGCATTCTTTCCACCTCATCCACCTCTATTACCAGTGGAAGGGACTCTTTCTTGTCCTCTGAGAGGAATCAGTCTCCCCTCCTGGTTCTTCCAAATACTTTGCCTGTGACATTCCCTTAAGGATTTAGCTTTTGGAAACCAAAGCCAGGAAGCCAGGAGCTTTTTCTGTTGTCTAACCGCCATACTTCTCCCCCTCCGTAATGAATTAGGAGGATGGGAAAGGGAGAGAAAGCCTAGAAGGTTTGAAAAGTTGGTTAACATTTCATATGTTTTCTCGTCATAGATTTTTTTTTAAGAACAGTAAAGATCTAAATATTGAAACATTTTTTGTTATTATACTATAATAATTTACACTCAGGAATTTTTGTATATTATACCAAAGAATTTTTAAGTCACGGCCGCTTATGTTAAGAGAGAGAGAAATATGCTGTTTTGACACATTTCTTTAAGGAGAGGAATTCATAGGAATGATTTTTTCTAGTTGAATCAGCAACATAGGATTTCAAACAATGATCTATATTGGAAATAAGTCATTACCGTAATCATTTTTTTCAAGCGTGTTGGATGAGGAAGACTTACTTTCTGGTTACATTTTAATATATGACAATAGCCAAGCAACTTATAATATTTTACTCCTGTTTTCATAGTAGAAGTAGAAACTGCTAGTAATGCTCTAACCAGATATTTATAACTATGTTGCCCTTGATTCAACCAATTGGCAGGAAATTTTAAGGCATTTAAATACAAGATAAAACTTTTAATCTTGTGGGTTCAACTAAAAATTCGTTGCTGAAAGGGTACAGATCCCTCTATTGTACTTATATCATAACCTTGTGCTGTTTTCAGCTGCTTTCACAGTGAAGACTAATCAGTAGGCTGACAGTATGAAAGGCAGCAGAAGCTGTATTTGTTTTTCAGCTCTAGTAGGCATAGTTTAAGTGGGTTGAGTCCAGAAGATGTAAATTCCTACTGGATGCAATAATGTAATAATCCATAGGTCTCAAGTAGCATTGCTCAAGTGTTGACTTATTTGATAATGCTTTAAAAATTACATTTTTCATCACTGGGAACAGGATTAGGTGGGTTTTATCTTACGAGACGACACACGGAAGGGTACAGTAGATGCTGATGTGGTGATGAAATTTTTGTCAAAATGTAATTTCCTGCTGCTAAATCTCATGACAGGTGCATCATATTTCTGGGTTCAGAAGTTATTCCCCAGTGATGTAACGAGAGGAAATGTATCACAGGAGCGTCACCATTTGATATTTGCACAGTTCTTCTCCAAGGAAGCGTTTTGCTTTTTTGTTTCCAGTGTATGCGTGTGACAAATGAGTTTTTGTATTTAAAATGTCGTGGCAATATTCGCCTCCTATGGTCAGTGTGAGTCAATTACACGTACCTGTACCCATGTCTTCCTTTTCAGTGCTTATTATAGTTTTTATCATTGCATTTTTATTTGTCACTCCACGGACGTTTGTTGAATTGCATGATTGCAGGAGCTTAGTATGGGTATTGCTTTTTTTTTAAAGCGAATTTCTAAAGTACAAAAAATGTATGATCTACATGTTTGCCTCTCTTCAAGTGAGTTGCTTCATTCAATCAAGCTCAGCCCTTTTTGATTGCAAGGAGAGGAGAGGATATAGGCAGATCAACTTAAGTCCGCAAAGCATGTGCTAAAGGTCTGTCTGATGTTATGAGCGTTCCTTTGCAATGTAACTCACCAGAGCAATGGTGAGCAGCTCTGTTTTGGGAACTCGAGTATTAGAGTTCTTTGGCTTTAGATAACACCTCTCTGGGAACCAGTATCCAGCTTAATCATCTCCTTTATTCACCATATCTGGCTCCGGGAGGTTTTTGGCTTTCTCCAAAGATCAGATGGGCCCCCCAAGGGCCAAGACTAGCTGCTATAGAGACCATTCAAAAGAATATGCCCAAGGCTGAGAAGGCAGTCCAAAAAAGGAGTGAGAACTAGAGAAGGCATTCCAAAAATGTTGAGAACAATGGCTGCATGATCGGAATAAGTATGCAGACCTCCAGGTGGCTGCAGTGGGGGACAGTCTTCACCTAGGGGTATCTGTTAAAAATCCATATCATTACTCTGTAGCTAAACTTACACACACGCACACACACACGCACACCCCCTTGTGCAAAGATAAACAGATGTGATCTTCAGACATTTCCTTTAAATATTTCGTTTCTCTTGCCTGTGTATAGCCATTTCTATCCCCTCCAGGTCAGCGTTACCTTCCACTTGCTTTCACTTTTTCATGGAGCTGATGGCACCCGTAGGTACCATTAGTGACTGAGACCTGTGTGTTGATCAGGATTCATGATACAAGGCTTTGAAAAGTAGTAGGCTAAGACTTTGGAGGGAAGGTATGTGATGGAATGGACATGTCCTTTTACTTCCTGCCCTTTGAACATACATACATAATTACAGGGATGGTTTCAGAGTGTCCCAAAGCAATAGCTTTCAACATGTGAAGCTATATGTTCTTCTCAACTCCTAGGGCTCCCGGTCTCTGCCCTGCTACATCCATGCAGGTTGGCACATGTGATGACAAAGTGGATAGAGTTTGTTCTTGTGCTTAGCTGTTTGTGCAGCCATTCTGAAGGAGAGCCAGATAGAAAATGAAAAACACACATATGGCCTTCACTTTTCCCTTATTTTACATTCGGCGGTTTGTCTGTCTGAGCCCTTCATTGACGCATGGCCTGCCTACCTAATTTTAGGCCCAGTGCTGTGAAGCTGTGTTAAGCTGTACCTAGATATTCTGGTAGGAACGTTCTCATAGATCACAACATGATTTCAGGAGAAACTTGAAACTGAATAAGAGATCTGTAGACCGTTGTCTGGGGTTTATGAAAGGGTGGGTTTGTCTTTCACTTGTAGAAACCACACAAGGTAAATTCTTTTCTCTGGCAATTTAAGGGATAGGCCTGTAGTGCTTTTAGTTTTTACATTGATGTCTTCATGTCGAGTCTTTATGTAAAACTAGAAAAATAGACTTTACCTGTTGTTTAGGAACAGAGTTAATATTTTAAAATAAAAAATCTCCACATAAAACTGGAGTCCTCATTTGGTAAATTTCAGCTTAGCTGAAAGCTATTATGTAAGTAGTGAGTACAGATGTCCCAGCCATGCTCTGCTTCAAGATGAGAGAGAAGAACAGGTACATCGCTCCACATTTCATTGTGTGAATTTTAGAATTCACCGCTACCTTTTTAGCTGACATGGATTATCACTGCCACACTTCCATCATATCACAAAGCACGTCCTCGTTGTCCTTATGCTTAGATAAAGGAATCTTGGCCTCATGTTCAGGGTTCTTCACCAGTTACCCCAATTTGCGTTTGCAGACTTTAACTCTTTTTACCCCTTTTCAGATGCCTTGTGCTCCAGTGAAGCTCATTCTTCATTTGGCCTGTCTGTGGCTGTGCTGTCATCCCACTGGGCCTTGTTTGATCATATGCTATCAGTGGGAAATGTGCTTTGTCCTTGTCTTTCATGTAACTCATATTTAGTGAGTACCTGCTATGTGCCAGCCCTTGTGCTAAGCTCTGGAGATGCTAAGCTAAAGCAACATAGACAAAATCCCTGTTCCACATCCCCAAATTATTTCTTTCTTCCAAACCAAGTCAAGTGTGTCAGCCCTTATACTCCTAGCTAGAAGAATTTTTTTTTCTCTTCCCCTAGGCATCTAGAGCTTTCTTTCTGTGCATCTATCATGGAATTCACCCCTGTCTACTCTGCATTCTCTCCCTTTACAAATGGAACTTACTTACTTTCCTTTCTAGAATTTCTAGAAAGCAGAATTCAACTTTATATCCTCCATAGTACTTAATGCAATCATTCTATTCATTCAGCAAGCATTTATTGATTAACTACTCTGTTTAGGACTTTCTGTAAATATTGATATTTATATTGAACTTCTGAATGCATGAAAAATGTGGGCCTCAGAAGGACTCTCTAATGTTGATATTTGGGACCGGAAGAGGCTTTATGAGGTTGGAAAATGTGCCTCCTCTTTGCACGGGAACAGATAATTCCCCTCGAGGTCTGTCTTCTTGAGTCGCATAAAAGAAACGTTGTACTTCTGCCAGAATAACTTAATTCTATTAAACCTAAATCAGAATCTTTTTTTTTTTTTTTCATTTAATGATTAACTAGGCCTGTCTTTCTCAGGTCTCTTTTTGTATCTAAAATTTTCATGTCAAGCAATGTCCCGTTAAAAACTGATTCAGATTTTATAATGTTAAGCCTTTTGCAACATCAAATTCTAAAATTTGCAGTTGACTTTTAACAAAAAGAAGATTGAGCACAGCCTGACTCTAACCTGCTTACCATATTTTAAAGTGGTTTTACACAGTAACTAAATGTACATTTTTGTTTTGATCATAAGAACATCAAAGCATTGTGATTTTTGTGTTGCTAAGCCTCTGAAACCTCCAAATCACATTGATTTGTTTACTGACTTAATATTGACTATTTTGAGTTTGTGATTGCTTTACCCTTGCATTTTGAAAGAAAAAAGAAGTTAAATACAGTTTGTTGATTTTATTTAATCACACAGTACTGTTTGTGCCTGTAACTTCAGTTCAACCGACATGCCCGTTTTTTAAAGCAAAACCCTAACAAAGTAATTGAACGTGCATTTTGAGATGTCTGTGGTGACAAATTCTTGCCTTTTCCTTTTCAGAATGAAGACCTAAATGACCTCAGCAAATCCTCCTTTAACTCATGGGTACCCAGACTCTAACTATTTCGTGATCCACAACCAGGACCTCACATCTTCCTCCTCAGTAGATGGTACGATGCATCCATTTCAGTTTGTTTACTTCATATACAATCCTCAGGAGTTCGTTGACTGAACTGCACGTTCTATATTGTGCCAAGCGAAAAAAAGCACTGTGACATCGGAACAATGAGTCTGCATAAACTTCATCTTCAACCTTAAGGACTTAGCTGGCCACATGAGCTGATGTGCCCACCATGCCACGAGAGAATGGGTTTACTCTCATTGCATATAACAAGACACATTTCATCTGCTGCTGAAACCGCATACGACAAAGCATCGTTGTAAATTATTTCACGCAGAACAGTTCGCGTTGGGTGGAGAGAGTATTAAATATTTAACGTAGGTTTTGATTTATACGTGTAATTTTTTTTAATTAAAATGTAATTTTTCTTATAGCACACATCTTTTTTTTTCTTTTTTTCTTTTTCTTTTTTTTTTTTTTGGATGTGGACCTGAGGTATACAAGTGTTCTGTTGTAAAGAGTGGAGCAAATGCTTAAAACAAGGCTGACAGGAGTAGATTAGGATACGGCCCTTGTTTTAAGATTATAATTCAGAAAAAATAATATAAGAATCATAGTGCCATAGATGGTTTTCAATTGTATAGTTATATTTGCTGATACTATCTCTTGTATTATATAGCCCTGATGTTGAGCTGAGATCCTTACAAGAATTGATCTTAATTTTGTATTTTTCCTGTAAGGCAGTAGGCCATGTTAATTAAACTGAAGAAGGATATATTCTCCTGGGTGTTTTCAAGGGTCAGCTAAAAATTGGCAATTGAATGGAAGCAAAATTCTAAGAAAAGGACATCAGAGTCTTCCGTTGTACATACTGTAAAGAGAAGGAGACATGGGCGATCCCTCTGGAATGAACAATGTGGGTGTTTGTAAATTCTGGAATTTTTTTTTTTTTCTATTCCTAATAAACTAGACTGTTGATCTTTTCTTCTTCCCTTCCCCCCACTTCTGTAAGCTTCTTGCTCCAATGCCACCATTTTCTTCTGTGCACACATTAGGTTATTTCGTTTCCGGCATGGTCTCAAGAAAGATGGCCAGACAAGTGAGTACTTGTCTTGAATTTCTAACCAGAAGTGTTTTTTTGGTTTTTTGTTTGTTTGTTTGTTTGTTTTTATCATGACTAGTGCTACATGTCACTTTCTTTAAGACCTTATGTCCTGTTTTCTGACAACTTCTAGTGTTACATTATTTAACCGAATGCAATTTGGCCCATCTGCCCCGGTGGGTACTAGTTTATTAGTGATTAGTTAACAAAACCCAGTGTAGAGAGAGCCCATCAAAAAGCTTAATGACCTGCTATTGGGACATCTAGCCAGTAGTGAAAATGTCAATCCTTTTCTTCTTTGAGAGAAAGTACACCCATTTTGGATTTTTTTCCTTGTGAAAAAGAAATGGCAATGAACGCACTTAAAGAGATTGCCTACAGAGTTTTTAACCTTTTTTACCAGGACACTTCCTATAGGTTAAGTGAACGAATGCCAGTATCGGGCTCCCTAAGAGTCTGTGTAAACTCTGTATCAGAAATTCCGAGACATACTGTTGAGAAGAGCAACATTTTATTGCTCCGAAGGGTTGTACTCACTCCCTGGGTGGGGGTGAGGACACACGGAGGGGGCCAGGGTTGGGGTGCCCTTGCAGTGGCTGCTGCCCCTTCTCACCTGGCCAGGGGACCCCTGCTCTACTCGAAAGGGAGTGGAGATAAATGGAACCCCTCACACTGCTGAGGCCTGTGTTACTGTTAATTCAGCCAGATGGCATGGACCTCACAGACAGTTGTGCAATGTTCATTGTTGCAGATTCTAATCATTTGCATGCTCATCAATTTCCAAGATAAATCGGTCTGTAGGCATAAGAATCCATTGTTTTCAAGGAACTTGCTGAATTACATCATTTCCTATGAGGAGAGAACACTACCAATTTTTTAAAAATCTGATATGAGAGTTTTTTTTACTCTTTTATGAAAAAGACTTTGTTGGTCAAACTAGCTTTCATTTTTCAAGTATTCTGACTCATACTCTTGTTAGAGAGAAATCAGCGAGCAAGGTCAGCCCCCGCCATTCTTCTGTAAAGCTGATTATTTCTCAAGGAACCTAAACTTGGAATCTTTATTACTAAGATACCTCTGCATGTGGAATTCTCAGCGTCTTTTGGGTGAGAACAGAAATGAACAGACTGGAAAAACTCATCTCTTGGTTTCTATTTCTCTGCTGTTTTGTTTGGTCAGATAGCGTAAGGGTAAAAATTCTTATTGAAGCTGCTGCTCGTTGGCCCTGAGCTGGGTTCGAACTTCCCCGATTTAAGACTGGAAGTTGCTGGTATTTAAGGCAAAAAACTCATGCTCTGGCTACATGAGGGGTTGGTCTTGATCGACATCAGCTTCTAAGTCCTTGTGTTTGGTTCCTCTTGAGGAAAGTCGGTTTGTATCCGTTTCCAAGTGTTTATAGGCCAGCTAAGGGCTTACGTTAATGAGGCTTCTAGTGGTCTCTGGCAGAGTTTTAAAATTCTCCTTTGTAGAAAGAACAAATAGGTTTCGTGAATTCGATGATATCTTCATTCAGGGCAAAAAAAAAAAAAGATCCTAGAACCAGCCAGAAGTGAAGAAAAGCCATTAATGATCAACTGCCTGAGTCAATAATGACAAATCAGTCCCGATGTTACATTTGTGACTTTTCTTGCTAACTTTCAAAGGTCAGGGACTCTCTTGACTAATCTAGGTTGACTACAAAAATGGATTTACTAAAAATCACCTAGCCAGAAGGAGAGATTTTTAACCTTTCTTTCCCTGACTATTGTCTTCTGGCTGTCTTTTAAATTTGAGACATACTAAGAAAAACAACTTTACTGTAAGAACCAGTATTTTACAGTCCTGAAGCCCTGTTGTGTCCCATCTTGCATGCTGCGTGCAATGTGCCACGTAGTTGAACACTTTTATTTACTGAAGGTGGTTTACAAACAGGGGAAGAGAGCTCATTTTCCTCTGACGAATAGAGCCATGAAAAATGGGATAGATGCAACGTGCTCTGACCGCTTTGGCCGAGCTCTGTGCGTCAGTCCATCATGCAAGGAGGTGTTGAAACCCCAGACACTGGGAATTAAGACCTTGATTGGGGAGAGACAGAACCCTTTGGAAGGCGTGCGAAGGGGAATGATGGATGAAAGCCAAATATGAAATCGCTTCTTTGCAATGACTTGACAGGGGAGTGAGCGTTCCTAGGACACGGTGAATGTTAGTTGGCAGGAACGATGCACTCACATAGACTGCCGAGAAATGAGAGGAAGAAGCATGTGCTTCTAGGGATATGAAGAAAAAGGACCTCGCCAATTCTAAGAGAAAGACCTCCAGTCTGTGAGATCAGTTAGGGAGAGCCAAAGCATCCTTCTCGTAGTCAGTAGAAGGTGAGGGGTTACACACTGGTGCCCTTGAGCATTTTCAAAGCCAAGCCCAGGAAACCCCGGAAGTCCTCTCCAACCTCCAGAAATCAGTCTCCTAAGTGTAGGTAGGAAATGTGTGGATCAGATGGCATGTTGGGGTGTCCCTCACTCCTTGTCACCAGAGTATCAAGTTAGGTGCTGGGAGGAGGCAGAGTGATATTGATGGTGTTTGACCCTCCTCTTGGGGGAATTTATCAGTAATAAAGAGCTTATAATCAAGTATTAAGATTAGAAAAAGTGTGTCTTAGCTGGGGAGTTGTCTTTCCTGGTTTGTTGATGACTTGGCATTTGTGACATATACACCGAGAGATCTGGTGTTTTAGACTTTTGCCATTCACCTGGCATTTCAGTTTCTCTGCTATGTGGTTAATTTTCCCAGTGTTTACCAATAAGCCACATAATAGGACAACTTCAGTAAACAGGAAAATTTGTATTTATATAGACATCTTTTGTGCCGTTATTATTTTTTTCTTTTTAGAACTTTGCTATTGGCTTAAGAATGTAGTTCCCGGAATAATTTTTCTTACAAAGCTCTTTCCTTACACCTCTTGGCTACAGGGTGGGCCAAATTAAATACATATATATTTTTTCATTTAATGTATGTGCGGTTTGATTTATCATCTTAAGATGGTGGTGCTGCTCATGGTGCTACTTCATCTGTATACAAAAGGACCAATGCATGGTCTATATTGCTACCAAAACATTTATTGTATATATGTGTATAACATGTATTATGTATATATGTAATGGGTACCAGGCCAGGTATATATTTTTATTTGGAAGTGTTTCACTTTTCCAAGTTTTCTTTATAGTGTTATGCTTATTTTCAGTTTTTTTTCCCCCCTGATTCTGTCTGGTACTTAGAACTGTAGTGTCTTCATCATTAATTAAAGAAAACTGTCTAAATGAAGTCATGGATGTGAATGCTAGTGGTCCTTAATGTCTTTGATTACGGGATGTGGAACAGAAACTGCCAATTAAAATTTGCTGGGGCATTTGATTGGATAATAGCAGTGTACACAGTTTAACATACTTTAATAAATGGAACAGATAGGTTGGCTTCCTTCTTCAGTTGGCTTTCCATGGCCACGAGTGGAGAGAAAAAGACCTCCGAAAACATTGAAAGCTATTTTTGTTGCTGGTAGTGCAGTGGGAAGAGAGAGAGGAGCAGAAAGATGTGTTCTGTTGATGGGCACTTAGACCAGCCACGTCAGCCTTCAGCATGCACAGAGGCCCCCGAAGAGTTGCTCAAATGCAGATTACCACTGAGGGACCTGGGGCGGGGCCTGCCTGAGATTCCTTATTTCTAAGCAGCTCCCAGGGGCCCAGCACCATTCATCTTGGTCTATACTGGTGGCACTGAGTAGCAGCCCTAGCCACACTTTGGCATCCTCTGAGTAGCTTTCAGAAAGCTCGATGGCCAGGCCCACTCCAGGGATGCCGGCCTACTTCGTCTGGGGAGGGGCCTGGGCATCTGTCATAGCTGCTGCTGCCTTCTGGGCCCTCCGGAAGATTCTAGTACATGATCGAGGCTGAGAACCACTGTTGCAAAGGGTTGTCCCAAACCAATTACTGAGGTCACTTGTTAGAGACGCCAATTGCCTGGAGCTGTCCAAGAACGTGGGCTTCGACAGGTGACGCTGTGGTTGGTGAATTAGGGAAACCCTGGCTCTGTGCAAGAGGGGCCTTCAGGATCCTTTCGCCGCTAGCAGAGACTGAACACCTACGATTTTTGAAAATAATAAGCCATGTTGTCCATACAGAAGCAGCCAACTCCCCCGACCTGCCCCAACTTTCTGGCTTAAACAATCTCAAATCGATGATCAATGCGTCCTAAGTTGTTCAGACGATCCCAAATGATGGAACGTCTAGAAACAGAGTCAAAATTATTATTTTTCTGCTTTGACTTTAAAAAATATTTTTTTAATTCAAAAAAAATTTTTTATGGTAACATTGGTTAACAAAATCCAATAAGTACATTTTAACCGTACATTTTAACAGTAAGGCATATATATATTTATATTGTGTGTTCGCTTCCCATAGTTCGATTTCTTTCTGTCACCGCATATTCGATTTGACTTTTGGAAGTGCTTTCTTCTCCATTCTAATGTGGTGCGTCAAACCGGAGGGGTCTTCCTTCTGCCTGGCATTATAATAATATTTTCACTGAAGCAGCAGAGCACAACATGATGGAAGAATGCTCAAGTCATTATTTCATCTTCACTTTTATTCGCTTCCTCCATTTATTTGTTTAAAAAAAAAAGATTTTTTCCTCCAAGTGGTATTGCAAAGCAAACGTCACTCTGACCTCTATTGAAATTACACATAAATATCACGAATTAGTATGAATTTGAGGGCAGTCTAGTTGAAATGAATTACTGGTGTAACTTATAGCATGATTGCCATTACCTTTACACATATACGGAAACAAACTATAGCAAGTCAAACATCAGTAAGACATCTGTGAGAATTTAATAGTCATGGAGAATTGTAAGTACATCACTGATTCGGTTATAAACAATAGCAACGGTCATTCTGCATTTGCTCTAGGTTAGGCACCAGGATTGACATCAATTACCTCATTTCATCCCTCCAGCAACCCAGAGCTAGTTAACGATGATCCCTAATCCCCAGATGTGCAAGCAGAGGAGAGAAAGGGGTATGTCGGTGACCAAATTTGTATTCTCATGGACACCACTGCAAGTCTCTGGTTTCTAAGTACTTAAAGAAAATTATGCTTCGTGCATGAAAGACATTGTCACTCCAGCTGCCTTATTCATTTGCTGAGCAAATAGGATCTCACAGGAGCCTGAGAGTGAATCTCTGTCCAACATAACTTTCACATACGTAGTAACAGGGCCTTATTCTACCTATTTTTATTCTTTATCTTTGTGTCTAGCTTGGTTCATTTGTGTCAAAAATCCTTCTGGATTCCTATTGTTTTTCTCAATCAGTGTACCTCTTTTTAGCAACAGAGTAGAATGATTCAGCTTTATTTTAGGAACACAAGGGCAGTAGGTGAAATGTGAAAGTCATATAAAATCCAAATGCCTGTGTTTCTAGGCATCGGATTTTACATATTATCTCCTGTAAACTCTTGGAAATCAGAACTTACATTCTCTGTTCAAGATTGCGATGGATTTGTTTGTTTGTTTTTTAGATAAACGAGCAAGATTGACAACAGGAAAAATATGGGAGAGGCGGATACCTGAGTATTACCTGAGTTCGAGAATGAGACAAAGGGTGTTTGAAGCTTCCCCAATACAGGAATACTTTTCTCTGACATAGTACCCTGGTGGGAAGAAAGTTTTCTCTCTTAAGGTCCTGCTCTGGGTCTGAAAATTAAACTGACAAAGATTAACAAGAAGAAAGCACATAAATTTATTGAACATAAATTTTACATGACGCAGGAGCCTTCATAAAGGGGTAAAGACCTGAAGAAATAGATTTGAGAGCTTCCATGCCAGGTTTGATGAAGGATGGACACTTGTGGAGGAATACGCTAGGTTAAGAAGCCTGAAATCAGTGTCGTCAACGGGGGGGAAACTTAGCAAGTCTGTTTGCTGGGATTCTTCTTGGCGACCCTTTGTCTTCAAAGATAAGGACGCCTGTTTCCTCAGCCATCACATGAGGGTGTTATGACCTGTTTCTGGGAGAAGAGCAGGGAGAAGGTCAGAGTGACCTTCCTGCTCCTGCTGCTTTCTCAAATTCTTTCAGCTGAAAATATTCAAAGGCCAAGGGGCCATATTTGGTGTAGCATTTCCGGAAAACCAACCCACAGTGCTTTGCAAAGCTTGGACTGTACACTACCTATACGAATTCCTTAACACGGGCCCCAGGAAACAATATTAGTGACAAGTTGTTCCCCACCCCCACTCCACATACACCCCCTTCTCTCCAGGGTTATTTTACACCCTGACCTTGGACAAGGCATGTATTATTAGAGTTCACTAATCTGTATTGTTCTGCTTCCCCTCCATGTAAGTCACTGCAGAGCTCAGGCACCATAGCCTCTAAATGTAAATATGAGACAAGAAATGATTTTGCTGAAGATCCTCACCACTCCTGAAAAAGCAAACAACCTACATACTAGAAATCAGTAAAATTAAGTCTAAACTTATGCAGGAAATAGCATAAAACAAGGGAATTAGGTAAATTTGCACTTAGGATGTTCTACAGTGTTATCCTGAGTCTGTGAAACAAAATCCCAAACAAAACAAAATATCCCAAAATATTAAGAAGTGATACGTCTGACGGCATTATGATTTTTATCTTTTCTATTTTTCTGTAAGTTTTTATAATAACCATGTGTCATTTTCATAATGAGAAAGAAAACAGAATATCATAAAAAACACAAATGGGGGTGGATGAGAATCTTAGTGAATCCTCACATGTTCGTTCGTATTACCATATATCACAGCTCTCCGTGATGGAAGAATCGGGGGTCCAGCAACTAAGCCAAATCCAGCCCTGCTTTCGTAAATAGAGTTTTTTCGCCACCTCCTGTCATCCCCATCACCCACCAGCGATTCCAGTTAACAGGGTCCCATGCCCCCCGGGGGGAAAGTATGTACCATTCTGAACCTGGTTTACTTCATCTGCTGAAAAATAAAACAAGGTGGGCTGAGCTAATCAAACTTCTTCCCGAATAGAGTAACCCTACTATTTGTTTTCTGCTGAAATGTTTGACAGATGGGAATCTGATGGAAGAGATTTGTTTTCATGGTCGTGTGAATACCTCGGTTCTCATCTTTGCCTTGCCACTAACTGAGTTACTTTGAGCAAAGCCCTTCTCTCCAAGCCCTCTGCTTCTTTGTTTATAAAACTTGAGAGTTATCCGATCTTAGCCTAGGGTTCAGAAATTTGTCAACACTAAAATCTAATGCACTGTTTTCCATGGGCATGGCCGTGTGCATTTTCTTCCCCCTGGGGAGAAGGGACTGTGACTTCCTGAGGATTCACCAAAGGATCAAAGTAGAGAAATAGCTTCTTACAATAATACGATTTCACTATGCTATGGAATTTTTATGATTCCATAGCAGATTTTATGGAATTAGAAACTGGCCTAGGGCAAAAACTTTAGGTCAGCAGAATTCATCCCAACGTTTCTCCACATTAATTGAGGTTAGGGATTCTTCGTTGCCAAATGCTTTCATGGGACCCAGGCTCTTTGTAGAGTGGAGAAAACACCTCTAACAAACTATTTTTCCCCAGAGCAATGTGAAATTAATGTATTATCTCCCAGGGCATTTGCCTCCAGAAAGAAAACCTACCCAGAAGGAAGAAAACACTTTAGCAAATGGGGACTTACTGATAAAAATGGGGCTTTAGGTGTCCATGTGGGGAGATGTTTAGTTTAGTTGGGACAGATTTAGTACTTTGTTGGCACTGAGCCTTGAAAAGGAGTGTGATCTGGTGGTCCCTCACCCCTAAACGTAATTGAAAATAAAATTTTACTTTGACGGTGACATAAAACTTGCTCGTTCGCTAAATTAAAGTAGCTTCTTTCTGAATAATTCCAATTTGGTATATATTTATCAAAGCTAAACTTACTTTCTCCTTTGTTTTTTGTGGGGCAGGGTCTCTGCTTGACTGGTGGATCTCAAGACCTGACTGGGTTCAGGACTTCTGTCCTCACACCTGTAAAGTCATCTTCTGTAGGTGACCACCTACTCCGCCCCTATGGGAAGCAGGTTCTCACTCGTTCTACGGTGAACCTGGCTTAACTGTTGGCAGAAAAAGAACGAAAGCAGGCAAAGAATGAAAGAATTTCCTTCTGGCTGACAAACAACTCCTACTTGTTGCTACTAACGGAAAATCTATTTTTACTCTTCTGTGCCCCAGCAATGGAGTTGATCTTTATGACACAAAGAAACCCTCAGCCAAAATTCTAAAAAGAGCATTTCTCTT